CAAGGGTCGGTCCAAAGACTCCCCGCCGGCCCCGCCGGGCCGCTTTTTTGGCTCCCCGCATCCCCCCGGCTTCGCGGGGGGACGAGGCGGAGGGGCGGGCGGGCGGGGAGGACGGAGCTGGCCGGGCTCTCTGGAAACCCAAACTTTCCCCAAACTTGCTTAATGCGGGATGATTTATTTGAGTTGGAGCTGACCTCTCTTGTCTCGCCGTCCTAGAGTTAGGATATTTGACAGTAATGAAGAGTGATAGATTGCTCCCGCTCAGCTAAGCAGCTGATGCATTAATTATAAATTGCGGTATGGCTAATATAAAGTTTGCTCTGGTGTGGGGAGGTTGGGGAGCTGGAGGCAGTAATTTTGCGGAGGTGGCCGAGGGGCGCGCAGCACCGGGCGCTCAGCAGTGCAACACAATGGGTTTACTGCATCCAAAGGCGGCCATTTTGTTGCAGTTGCTGTTTTATGCTATATGGACATATAGATATAGACACATACGTGCAGACAGAGGACCCCCCCCGGCCCCCCCGGGATGCGATGTGCTCGGGTGCTGAAATTCAATCCGTGCATTTATCTGTTTTGTGTGTGCGTGCCTGTGCTTTTGCTTTTGCTGTTCTGGCGGTGGTGCCTTGGGGTGCGTGTGGTGGTGGTGTTTTTCTTTTTCTTTTTTTTTTTGTATTTTTTTTTTTTTAACAGACCCCCTTGAAATCCCCGATAGCAGTAGCGGTGGATCTAGGCGGCTGAGGACGGCTTACACCAACACCCAGCTTTTGGAGCTAGAGAAAGAATTTCATTTCAACAAGTATCTCTGTAGACCAAGGAGGGTTGAGATTGCAGCCTTGCTGGATCTGACTGAGAGACAAGTTAAAGTCTGGTTCCAGAACAGGAGGATGAAGCACAAGAGACAGACCCAGTGCAAGGAGAACCAAAACAGCGAGGGGAAATTTAAGAGCCTAGAGGACCCCGAGAAAGCGGCGGAGGAGGAGGAGGAGGAGAAATCCCTCTTCGAGCAAGCCCTCAGCAACGTCTCCGGCGCTCTCTTGGAGCGGGAAGGCTACGCTTTCCAGCAGAATGCCCTCTCCCAGCAGCAGGCGCAGAATGCGCACAATGGCGAGTCCCAAACTTTCCCCGTTTCGCCTTTAACGAGCAATGAGAAAAATCTGAAACATTTTCAACATCAGTCACCCACTGTTCAAAACTGCCTCTCAACAATGGCCCAGAACTGTGCAGCTGGCCTGAACAATGACAGTCCTGAGGCCCTAGATGTCCCTTCTTTACAGGACTTTAACGTTTTCTCCACAGATTCCTGCCTACAGCTTTCAGATGCAGTTTCCCCCAGTTTGCCAGGATCTCTGGACAGTCCCGTAGATATTTCTGCTGACAGTTTTGACTTTTTTACAGACACACTTACCACTATTGACTTGCAGCATCTGAATTACTGAGAAATTAAAGACGTCCTCTCCAAGGGTCCTGCTTTCTCCTCCTTATTCTTCTTCCTTATTTTCCCCGTGAATTAATTTTATTTTATTTTTCTCCCCTCCCTTTTCCTGGTCGGTATTTTCTGTTTGTTACCTCCCTCTGCTATGCCATTTTGCCGTTTCTTACGAAGTTTTAGTTGTGTTCAATTTTAACCTAGCCACATTCTAGGTCCTTCTATGAAAGCAATATATGAGGTCTGTAAGAAAGTGATCATATAGGAATTGTATCTTCACTTTCTTTTTATTTTTGTATTGCATTAGGATGCGTTGTCATAAGTATTTTTGGTAGAATAAATTCTTGTTTGCTACAAGGAGCTTTCTCTTTTTTCTTTCTCTTTCTCCCTCTCTCTTTCTCTCTCCTTTCAAGACTGATACCATGACGGGTATTTCTCCCCATCCCTTCTACTATTAATTTACTAATAATCGAAATCCAACGTTCTGACTACGAGCTCTCCCCTTTTGGCAATTTCGGACATTTATTAGAGAGGAAAAAACACGTTCAAATTCTTTATTGCAAGCTTTCTCACAAGGAAAAAAAAAAACAAAACCCAAACAAACTAAACCCATTCACAGCTTTGATGGAGATCTCTTCCTTTTAATGTATAAATGTAGCATCTTATCTCCGTGAGGGTACAAAGCTTGGAAATGCTGAGCTGTAACAAAAGCATGAACGAGCACTTTCTCTGTTACAGGCAAAACATTAGAGAGGCTCAGCAGGATAAGCATCTCCTGCAGAAAGTCGCCTGTTACATACACGAAAGGTGCTTTTTTTTTTTTTAAAAAGCATTTGGGAAGGGATCAGCCCCTTCACTCAATCCTTTTGAGGGGTGGTGCGGGGGCCCAGCCGAAGATATTTTTCTGTTTAAACCTTCTTGCGGGGCGGAGGACTGATAACGAAAAGGGGAAACTCTGACTTTAAAGTTACAATTTCCTCGGGGCTCCTCACTCTCTGCTGGCGGCAGCAAAGATGGGCTTGCAGAAATCTCCACCAAATCCCCTGCCACCCGGCTAGTGGCGTTGCCGGACCCCGAAACGGAGGGTGAGCCCCGTCCTTCGGGCTAAAACCGAGCAACAGATGCCAGCGGGGCTCTGCCGCTCCGGGGCCGGGGGATCCCGGGCGGGTGCGATCGCGGGTCCCCGTGTGCGTGTGAGGGCGTGCGGGTGTGCGAGTGCGGGTGTGTGAGCCTGTGGTTACATTACAGGGGTGAGTGGGGCTTGAGCGGGGGTTTGTGGCCGGGGCTCTGCTGCCCGTCCATGCGAGGAGTGTTGTCTCCCAGCTCTGCAACACGTTGTGGAGCTGGGATGCGTGGGTTATAGCTGGAAGGGCTGAACGCAATTCTTCCGAAAGTCATAAATCAAACTCTTTCTATGAATGAGAATGTCATCAAAGAGATCAATTGCAGGAACACATGCACAAATAAAAATCCTCTTACGTATTTGCCGGGGCTGGGGATCCCCGTCTAAAACCATTAAGTGAGAAGGCGTTTAGTCATAATTCATTTTTATTGCTCTTTTAAAACAACAGCTTGGCTGAGCTGCGGACGCGGCGAAACCTCGGCCCTGCTTCTTGTCCTTCTCTCGGCTCCAGCCCTGTCCCTGTGGAAAGCGAGCAGCCTCACCGGCATTTTAACTCCTCTGCCACTGGGTTAAATTGGACTGCAATGGGCGTGCAGGGGTTGGGGTTTCTTTTGTGTCCAGATTTCTGGGTGCTGACAACGCTTTAAAAAAAAAAAAAAAGAGGAAAATACGCTACAAGATTTAAACTTCTTGCAAACTTCGTTTAAATAAATGGGGGCATTCAGCGAGCAGGAGTCGCCTCCGAGTCTCCCGGTGAGCCCTGGGGCCACAGCGGGGGTACACTCCCACGGAAAAACCTAAAGCGCCGGGATCGCCCCCTCGGCCCCAGTCCCGGGGCAGGAAAGGCGGAGCGGAGCCGCGGAGGGGCGCGGAGGGGCGCGGAGGGGCCGGGCCGGCCTGCGGGCAGGGGGAAGGGGCGGCAGGGCGCCC